TTTCCACAGAAATTTTGGAAAAGTTTACTTCGTGTTTTAGAAAATGTCTTCTTGAGACCAGCACAATAGGATACTGACTCCTGAAGACAAACTGCCTGAGAGTTTTGCTAGGTCTGGATCTGGAAGGTATGGATTTTTCTTAATTAAAATAAACAAAGGGAATGCCGTGCTAGTCAAACTAACATGAATTACAGACCAAAGTTTCTCTTATACGAGGAAAATCCCAGCGTGCCTCGGGATCTCTTAGGACAGACTTTCTTACACAACTTGCTATATTTCATATAGTGTATTAATGTGGCTTTTACTTTTTAAATCATGGAAGTTGTGTTCAGGGCTTGTCAAAAATTGTTGTAGCGGCTAAAATGCATGCCTTACATTGTTGGAAGCTGTTGGGATTTCTTTACATACTACATAGTATCCTCTGGAAAGGAAAAACTCTAGAATTCAATTCTGGAGACTTCCAGAAAGGTTCTAATTATATTTGGACTGTGACCTGTGGAACCAATTTGTCAGATTTTTTTTTCCTGTGGAGTATGCATCTGTCATTGTTCATCCTTCCAGCCAGAGGAAATGGAGGAATATGTTTGGAACTTGGGATACAGTCAAGATTATTTTCTACAAAATGTACATTTTTTGAGGGTTTGGCATAAAAATTATGCGTTCTCCATCCCTTCAACTTTGTATTGCAATAGCAAAGCAAATTAATGTGACAGCTACCTGCATTGTTAATGAAGTTTCAGAAGCTTTTTGTATACTGATTTCTACTTTTCAATGTATTGAAGTCTTTGAAAGAATGTTTAATTCCATGTGAACAGCAGTCTTCTGCAAGGTAGTTGAGAAACCTACTCTTATCCAATGAAGACAGCATGTAGCATTAGATTTATACACTAGACACTGTGAAGCATTTCTAGGTATCTAAGCAGGCATTCAAATTCAACGTTTTCTGTTATTTGAGTATTTTTAACTAATTTGCTAAGTTAAATAAGAATTTCCTATTATGACTTGTACTTGTCCTTAAATTGGTCTGTTCCCTGCTTTCTTCTCCTCTCACAACTAGCCCAAAAATTACAGGGCCCTCAATAGAGTACTGCTGAAAATAAGATTGCTCCAGCCCTGAAAGTATCTGTCTCCTAATGAGGAAGAACTGGAGGATAGTCTTAATTTTTCTGATTATATTTTCATGGATTTTTTTAATCCTTTAGTTACATATTAAAGGTAAAGATGAGACTGACTAGTGTAGTCTTTTGGAAGTTTTCTTTTTAATTATTAGACCTCTACTCAAGGGACTGTACGTATATAAAAGACAAGATTTAAGGGATGCCGAGAATTCATTAGACAGGATCTCCATGAGAGGCTTGATTAAATCAATAGTTTTTGAATTGCTATGAAACTTGCCATCTGTATGCCACACTAGTGAGTCAGATCACCAGTGTAACCGGGCAGCTCAGTTTTGCTGGGTTTTTGAGGAGACTGGAGTGTCTCTAAAGGTTTGAACTGGAGTCTGTTTTCCTTTAGGAAAGGCCAGTGCATGACCCAGGAGGCCCTTGAGCCGTAATGGGGCCAGGAACAAAACTGAACTTGGAGGCTGCCTAACAAGGCTTGCTGTATCTTGGAACCTCCACTAGGGAGAACTGGTTGTATGAATACTGGAAAGAGAAACTAGTTCACCTTGTACTGTTTTTTTGGCTGGGTTTGGTTTTTTGTGGGGTTGTTTTGTTTTTTGAATGAATGAGTGAATGGCCAGTTGCTATGGCAGCTGTCAGAAGTTCACGGAAAAGGTATGGAAAGTGCAGGTATTATTCTGAGAAGTGACAACAAATTACTAATGGAAGACCCTCACCAGCACAGCAGGCACCACCAGTTAGCTACTCTGCTGTGCTTCTCATCTAGCTCTTGGAGTAACACCCTGAGGTTCACCATGGTAATGTTTCCCCCAACTTTTCCTTGATACTTCCAGGCTGTAGGGGGAATAACTGGAATACAACCCCCAAGACACACACATAACTGAGGGAGGATTTTGCTGTTTCCCCATCTGGGTCCAATGGGCTCATATTGCTTTAATGAAGCGCTCTTTCCCACTGCCCAGGAAAGTTAGTGGGAGCGTTCACCTTGCCAACAAAATAAATATACATCCCTTTAACCCTTCACTACGGGATAGTGCCGTATTTGGTGCATCTTTTGGAGGATCACATTTGGTTGTGATCCTTCACCCTTTCTATCCCTTTGGGAGCAGCTTTCCCAGCTGTGGAGGAGGAAGTGGTCTTCTCTGCCTCCCCGGGGAGTCAAAGCCAGTCAGAGTTCAGGGGGAAAGAAAGTAGAAACAGCTAAATTTAGAAAACTGGTGTGAAAAGTAAGGCAAGTTAAAAACATTTTTGTCCTTGAAAACTGAGGAGGAGGAAGGAAGATGCTTGAATACAGCCTTTTTACTGAGCCTCAGAGGCATAATAACAAGTCTGCTTGCAGGGCAGGGCTTATTCCAGAAGAGCTGAATGACAGAGAAGATCTGTCTCCCCTCAATTATGAGAGGAACATCTCATTGTTAGACATGTTGAAATAGGAAGGAATTTAAATAATTTGGCATGGAATCTTATATATGCCAGTATAAAATTGAGTAAAAAGTTATAATTCAAACCAGTTGCTTCCTCTCAGTGTTTTTTTCATGTTCATTGTTCTCTTCATCTTTTATTTCTGCTGTCGATATGGAGTGGCATATTTGCACTCATGATACATTTATTCTGCAAACTGAAATATAGCTGCTTAGCCTGTGATCTCCTGCTTGCTTTATAGCTGAGTGTATATAGTATTTGACATAAAATAGCAAATAGTGGCTTGGTATATTTAAAGTACAAATTAGATCGTTCCCTTTTCAGAAAGAAGATACCCACTCTACAGAACTCACCTTATAAGAAGGGCTGAAATGTATATTTTGTCAAAACTAAACATTTAGAACGTTTTGCCAGATGTGTTGCAGGCAATTTCCTTTCCTGGGAAACAGTAAATTCCCTTACTCAGCCAATCCTGTTTTTATTCCATACAGCATATGACTAAGCTGCTTTGAGAGAGATGCCTGAATACCACTAACATTATCTTTCCAATTATCATTTTACTGACAGCTGCACAGCTTCTGTTTGACAGGCAAATACAGAGATCTTGTGAGATCTCTGATAGAAAAGGAAGCATAAAAGTTTTTGAGGTAATGTAAGAAAATGTTGACTTGGCTTTAGTCTGCTATCTGCAGACTTTGCCACCTAAAACTTGCAAGATGTTGATTTAGTAGATAAGCAAGTTCTCATTTCAGCAGTTTTCTTGTTTTAGCAAGGGAAGATACGTAATGAAATATGTGCAAAATGAAGGCAGAACAATGTAAACAAGTAGTTGTTCGTGCTGCATTCTTATAAATGAATATCTGCATATATAAATGAAAATGCTGTAGTGTAAGAATATGGAACTTCAAAATCAAATCTGAGATGAAAAATTATCTGAAACTTGGAATAAGTTAATGAAGTATTTTATATATTCCTGGTATTTATATTCCTCACATTTTGTCACTCAATGTTAAGTCCCCACCTTTGGTTCCTGGTACTTTAATGTTAGTTTATGGTAGTTCCATTTGCTGGCTTCAAAATACTTTCTTTCACTGGGAGTATTTTAGCATGTTTCTCAGGAACAAATGTCAACAAGGACAAGACTCATGAACTCGTAACTTAAAAAAACAGGGAACAGGATCTTGGAGCGTACTAGATTTTTAGTCTGCTGAAAATCTTATCTGTTTTGAGATCTTACACTCTCTTTGAAAGAGAGGAATGCCAGATTATTATGTTTTCCGATAAGCCAAAACAAATTGTTTTCATCAAGACCCATAGTTCAGTTCTTTAGCACTTCTAAAATTAGTGGCACTATCTTACTAAT